TCCTCCTATTTTCCCCACAACAACAACCCTGTGAGGTGAGTTGGGTGAAAGAGGGGGACTGGCCCAAAGTCACCCAGCCAGCTTTCTAGTCCCTAAGGCAGGACTAGAACTCGCCGTCTCCTGGTTTCTAGCCTGGGGCCTTAACAAGTATCGTATCAATAAAGCACTGTTGTGTGTTAAAAACAGATTGTGCTTGTTGAGACCGTCTGAGATAGCCTGAAACCTTTGAAATTGTGCAACTTAAAAGTGTTCTCACTTGACAGGGCTGTTGAAGCCCCACTTTTCCAAAACAATCACTCTGAGGTCGGCAGTGGCATGTCCCGGGAGGCTGAAATGCCCTGATGCCGCTTCGCCCTTGTTTGGGTCCTGATGTCAACCCTGTGTCCATCAATTCTTTGGGGTAAAGTTTGTCCTGTTTGTCCTACACAGAATCCAGAGGGGCATTATTGGCGGATGGTGGCAGATACTGTATCACATCAGAGGAAGAACATGCAAAACGCCTCCCATCTTCTATTTGTTGGGGCCTGTCACAGTGCGACTCGTGAAGATTTGGGGCATAGTAGACATCTAGGTTTGTTCCTTCCCATGTTGGCATCATTGCCCTGTCATTTCTCGTTGGGGGAATCTGCTTCAGATTGGGGGGGCTGTGTGTATGCAGGTACGGGCCTCCCACCCACTGCCTAATATAGGCTGCCGTTTATTAACGGAGTGGGTCAAGCTGTGAGTTGTGGGTGACGACCAGCGGTGTCCTGTCGTTCTGTTTCTATGTCTGCCTTTTAATGGGTCATCCCCGGGAACTGATCCAGAGCTCTCGGTTTGTCTGTTGATCCCAGGTGGGCAGTTCGGTCTTCTGGTTTAATTCCGTCAGTTTGAACATCCCTGCCGAGTGGGTCAGAACTAATGCATCACGGCACAGAGCCTGGCTATACAGTACAGACTTAGCGGAAGCCAGAAGCATGTAGAGATACATGGCTTCCTGTATCATGCAGGTGTTTATGGGTCCGTTCTGTAGTTTTATTGTGACATTAAAGAAGCGGACTTCTTCCGTAGGTAGGTCTAGTCTGAGGTCGATGGTGGGCTGGAAGTTGTTGAAATCATGAAGGAATTTGATGAGAGATTCATTTCCATGGGTTCAAATGATGAAAATGTCATCAGCGGAAAGAAGCACAGCTCTAGGTCATCCATGGAGATGCGTGTGCCCATGGCTGCGTGCCCACCGCTGTGCCCTGATTTGCAGGTGCACGTTATTGCCAAAGGTGAAGTAGTTACGGGTAAGTACAACTCAAAAGAAGTAATTGTTTCACCTTATTCTGCATTGATCAGTTCCAACCTCAAGTACAATGTTCAGTTTGGGCATCATATCTGAGAAGTAATTCAGACGAAAGATACAGAGAAGAGCAATTTGTGTGTGTGCGTATATTTTCTGCATCCTTTCTTTTTAGAAATTGTAATGATGGTAGAAACGTTGGGTTTTGCCATCTTGTGGCAACTCCTAGGAACTGTAGTAAGTTCTGTTCGCTGGAGTTTCACATCACCTGCCCACAGCACGGTCCTCCTGCCACCCTTGGGGTCTCATCTGTTTTAGCTACACACAAATAGGCACAAAACGTGTGTTCTGCCACTCGTCATCCCTCCTCCAAAGGCAGTGCTAATATCTGCAGGAAGGTCTCAGACTGAGCCCTGGAGACGCCTGAGGGGGAAAGAGAAGGACGTGCCAGAGGAAGCGCCACCAACCGCCTGAGAGGCGACTTTTTGCTCCCTCTGATTGGAACTCAGCAGTTTTGGAGCTTGTAAAGCAGCAGTGGCCAGATTGTCAAAGAACTTGTACAGTGTGGAGAATCTGAATTTGTTTTACCAACACATCTGACATTCTGTCCTCTCATCCTGCAGGCCATTTCCCCCCCCCCGCCTGCCCCCCCCCGCCATGCCCCTTGCCAAGCAAGCCTTTCTGACGCAGCCGTGGACCTAGCGGGCAGAAGAAGCCAGCGCTCACTCACGGCGCTTTCCCTCCAGGCAAAGCACGCGGGCTCACCCATGTTGCAGAATCTCCCTCTGAAAAGGCGGCTGCAGGCGCAGACGATGCTGTTCGAGGCGAGGATCCTTTTGCAAGAGCGGCCGTGGAGGCAGGGGTCCGAGGGGCAGTCTGCGGGGATTGGAGCACAGGCAGAGGAGGGCTCTTAGGACCGGCCTGCTCCCGACAGACACGGAGCACGACGGCTGCAATTTGACTGGCTTTTCTGTTTATTAAGAACTTCTACTTCACAGACAATATTTTTGAGAGTTCCCAAAAACTTTCCAGAGCAACAAGCTTCCTCTTAGTGCCACTTTTCAGAACAAATGTTTAAGAATTCTCACATGCAGAACATGTTTAGGTATATTCGCTTCAAATGTTGGAAAACAGTGGACTGGCTAAGAGTAGAATGTGGCTTTTCTCCCATCTCCCTCCCTCCCTCTCTTTCTTTCTTTCTTTCTTTCTTGGCAGTATTTGTGTGCTGGCCAGTCACGCGACTCCTTTTAAGCCCAGTGCCTGTTTTGTTCTCTTCACCGCATCATCGGAGGCTCACTCACCATCTCTTCGCAATGCATCAAATGAGCAATTGTAACTAACCCACACAATGTGGACATTTCCCCACAATACCTGTATACTGTTCCGGATGGCAGCTGGTTGTGCTGTTGACACACGTGCACGCTTGCACTAGGCCTTGGTGGATTGTGGCCCAGCTTTCTCCAATCTCAAAGTATTCATAGAGAGTGTCATCAAAACATTTGGCTGTAATTAAGGAAAGCATAAAAGCCTTTTAGCCAGGACCGCTGTTTTTGTTATCGAAGAAATATGCCGCTCTAAAATCAATCCTTTGGCCCCTAAACCATCATTCGTTGCCCTCAGCCGTGCGCCAGATTTTCCCCCAGTCACTCGTCAGGAATAATACCGTGGCTGATGAAATCCGAGCGGCGGCTGGCGAGAACAGCCCTCCTTGCCTTCAGAGGAAGGGTGACCCAGAAGCGGGGCTGGTGAAAGGCAGGATGGGCCCGGCTTCGCCTAGGAAAGCAGTGGGGAAGGCCACCCCTGCTTCAGGTTCCCCTGACGCTAGAGCCGGGATACGCAGTGCCCTGCGAATGCCCCGAGGCCACCGTTTCCTGCTGGACCCTTTCTTGGGCTCGGCAGAGGCGGATCAGGACGCCTTCGTAAGGAGGGGCAGGGCATTGCTGGGGAATTTCGGCTGTCTCCCTGGCGCTGCCTGCTCCAGGCATGCGAGTCTTGAGGGAGGCTGGGGAATAAAACAGTAAGATGGGCCCCGGGCTTTCTAAGAGAGCTCAGCAAAACTCTCTGGGAAAGGTGCCGCCTTCCTTTCCTCAGGAGAACCAGCAGTTTATGTGATGGGCTGCTTCTGTGCCCGATGGGGAACCTCTTCAGCAAACCCACCTATGTTTAAATGCAAGTAAGTAATTAAAGTGGTAGAAGAGTCAGCGAGACTGCAACCGTCGGTCTAAAGCCAGCCGTGGCCAGAGAGCCAGTGCGCTTATGGGGCGGTTCAGCTGGAGGCCATGGCGGGCCACCTTGGCAACCTCAGAAGTTGCCCTGAAAGACAAGGGGGTCAGACCAACGCGATTTGGCCAGAACTAGCGGGCTGGAGATTATTGTAATGATTACAGTCAAATGAAACTTTCTCAGCCCAGGACAGTCCTACGTGAAACACGATCTGCAAGTCTCCCACATCAAGAAGGAGCCCAGCGAAAAGCAAGAGCTGAAGGAGCACGAAGGTTGAGGGAAAGGCCAGAAGTGGATTCCCACCGATGAAGGCTCTGGATTGACACCGGGGGTTTTGGTTGGGAGTTCCCAAGTAGCAGAATACGGATTCCCAAATTCTTTCTTCTCCTGCCCTCTAGTTGGCTCACTCATTTTTGGATCTAGCATTTTTCCTGAAGGATTGTTTTTAATCTGGAAAGAAAGGATGGATTCAGAATGGGGAGGCCCTCACTTTTAAAAAGTGTGCAGAGTGGTCAGGTACTGTTCCCTAAACTCCAGCGTACTCTCCAGGCTTCCTGGAAGAGCCCTGGGCTGCTACACATGAACAGACTTTTGAAGATTCAGTAAACTCAAGGAGGACCCTCGGCCATTTGGAGAAACAGGAACTCGCCGCTGCCATATTTCAGCCCTTCAGGTTCTCTCTGGGTGTGTTTTAGGGAAGAACGAGCATCTGGCAGATGGGGCAGCGACTGCTGCTGATCCCATTCCCCTCCCAAATCTGTCCCCAGAGCCGCCTCCAGTGGCATCGTCCCCACGCCTGTTCCAGGGACGGGTGGGAGGGAGGAGCATTGCGCAAGAGGGCAGCAGGCAGGGCCAAGCTCACTGCGGGCGACGCCTTCCTTGGCTGGATTGATTGTGGGACGTAGATGAGGTGGGCGGGTGCCCGAAGGCATTATTCAAGGAATAAATAAACCCCAATCAACACTTCTCAGGAAACCTGAAAGATTCTAATGTAGCTTTGAGATTTTGCAAATCTCATCAGAATGAGAAACCACACGCCCTTAGGCAATTAATGAAAAATGTTGTGAAAACAGTGGTCAGAGGAAGACGGCAGGGCCATTGTGGGAATCAAGCAGACAGCCAGGTGCGAGGGGAAGAAGAGGGAAAAGGTTGAGGGAGGAGAATGTGCCAGGTGGGAATCACTGGACCCAACTGCAAGGTCTTGTTACATTCCTCCCAGGCTTTATTTTCCACTGAGAAACCTGCTTCCACTCCTTTGGACTGATTTCCCTCCAGAAATCCATGTGGATCTCACCATCATGAGGTTCCAGAGGTTTTTAAAACACAAGTGTTAGAGAAGTTCATGTAATCTTAAATAAGTCAGATATTGTTGATCATTACCAAATACTGGGTAAGAAAGAGCAGAAACAGCAGTTGGAGACCATCATCTAAGGGAAAGGTCAAACTGATCACAATGAATTAGGCTTGGGGTAAAGAACTATAAAGGACCACTGAACAACAAGGTGGTCGCACAAGCTTTGAGAGAGATCTCCTTGTGTCCTTTTTTCTGTGCAGAGATTTCTTCAATCTCCACCATGGTGTGTTTCTTTGGGTGTTCAGCAACAGGGACAACAGGGGTGTGTGAGTGGCATGGCACAGGCTGGGGAGGTTGGTGCATGCGTGGGTGGCACGGTGCAAGCGCAGAGAGCTGGGGGAGGTTGTATGGGTGGGGGAGACTTACCCCAGCAACTTGTGACCTTCCCTGCTGGCATCCCCACTGAACTTTCTGGGGAAGCCAGCAGGGAAGGTTGCAAATGGCGATCACGTGATCGTGAGGCACTTGGCAACTGGTCATAAGTGCGAACTGGTTGCCAAGCACCCAGATCATGATCACATGACCGTGGGGGTTCTGGGACGGCCAGAACTCCAAGGACTAGTTGTAACCACCATTTCTTCAGCACTGTCATAACTTTGAACAGTTGATGAATGAATGGTCATAGGTCGAGGACTACCTGTAGTTCTTTTTTATTGCTTTTCTGTTCCAAATTGCCTAGTCATTCTAAAGCAGGGGGGCTTCCTAACCAATAAATAAACCAATAAATAACTAAGTGGTTGACCCATAATGTAGTGTGACGTGTGACCCCCATACAGTATGGATTAGTGCTATGAGAAATATTCCATGTGAATACAGCCAGTTTGTTGTTGCACCTGGGCAGTTGCCAAGGAGCCCTGTGCTTCCCCTGACCACCACAGCATCTGCATGACCTTAGCCTCGTAAGGCTGAGAGCTTTTCCAGAACCAGTGGTAGCCCTTGTTTTCCTGGAGAGCTTCATCCTTTGTTGCTGAGTGAAACAAAGAACACTCACTCCAGATAATACTTACCAACTTCACAGTTTTTCCCCATGAATTGTTCAGGACAAATGCAGCGATGAGAACATTGATCACATCCACTGAAACATGTGCCACCATTTCTACAAGGGTTATGTCTGCAGTCATCGGAAACATCTGCACAGAAAACACCCAAAGAGTAAATCAATAAAAACTACAGTGGAGTGGCCCCATGTATCAATGGACAGCCTAGAAGAAAGGTGGTTGACTATGTGCCATCAAGTCAGTGTCCGTTCTTAGAGGCCACGTACAGTAGATAGATCTTCTCCAGGATGATTATTAACTACATTTGTCTTGTCTGTCGGTTATGTCCCTTGACCATTTTCTTTTCAGGAGAGTACCTGCCATGACTATCCCAACTCCTCCCTCCCTCCCTC